TGGGTGACACAGGAGGTGACACAGGGAGGTGACAGGTGACACAGGTGTGACATTGGGTGACACGGGGAGGTGACACAGGTGACATTGGGTGACACAGGAGGTGACACAGGGAGGTGACAGGTGACACTGAGGTGACACACAGGTGACATTAGGGTGACCCAGGTGTGGCACTGACCTGTCTGTGGCCCCACCCAGCCCAGCAGGGCCAGGAGCTGACACCTGTTACACACCCCCAGGGGACACTGGGGGGACACTGGGAGGTGACACAGGTGACATTAGGGTGACACAGGTGACACAGGTGACACAGGTGACCCACAGGTGTGGCACTGACCTGTCTGTGGCCCCACCCAGCCCAGCAGGGCCATGAGCTGACACCCATTGCAGACCCCCAGGGGACACTGGGGGGACACTGGTGACACAGGGAGGTGACACAGGTGACACAGGTGACATTAGGGTGACACAGGTGACACAGGTGACATTAGGGTGACACAGGTGTGGCACTGACCTGTCTGAGGCCCCACCCAGCCCAGCAGGGCCATGAGCTGACACCCATTGCAGACCCCCAGGCTGAAGGTGTCGGGGCGGCGCCGGAACCTCTCGAGGGCCCCCCGGACGTGGGGGTTGAACTGAACGGCTGCTGCCCAACCTGGGGGGGCACAGGGGGGTCAGGGGGGGTCCCCAAAAAAAGGGGGGACCCCAAAATGTCCCCCCCATAAATCTGGGAAACCCCAAAAAGTGGGAAACCCCAAAAAACCTGGGAAATCCTAAACGGAGGGACACTCCCAAATCCCAAAGGTGGGGGCTGCTGCCCAACCTGGGGGGGAAAGGGGGTCAAGGGGGTCCCAAAAACAAGGGGGACCCCAAAAATCCTGACCCTGAAAGAGGGAAACCCCCAAAAAGTGGGAAACCCCAAAAAACCTGGGAAACCCCCCAAAAAACCAAGGAACCACAAAAAGAAGGACACTCCCAAACCCCAAACATGGGGGGGAAAGGAGGGGCCGGGGGGACCCCAAAAACAGGGGAGATCCCAAAATATCACCCCCATAAATCAGGGACACCCCCAAAAATGGGGGACCCGAAAAAAATTGGGAAACCCTAAAAAAAATTGGGAAAGCCCAAAAATCCCCAACCCTAAAAACCGGGGACATCCCAAACATGGGGGGGACCCAAGGGCTGCTGCCCAACCTGGGGGGGGAGAGGGGGGGTCAGGGGGGGCCCCAAAAACAAGGGGGACCCCAAAAATCCTGACCCTGAAAGAGGGAAACCCCCAAAAAGTGGGAAACCCCCAAAAAAATGGGAAATCCTAAAAAAAACCAGGAAACCCCAAAAAAGCCAGGAAACCCCAAAAAGAGGGACACCCCCAAACCCCAAAGCTGAGAGGGAAAGGAGGGGTCAGGGGGGACCCCAAAAATCGGGGGGGCCCCAAAAATCCCCATCTCCAAAGAGGGAAACCCCCAAAAAGTGGGAAATCCTAAAAAACTGGGAAATCCTAAAAAAACCCCTGGGAAACCCCAAAAAGAGGGACACCCCCAAACCCCAAACATGGGGGGGAAAGGGGGGGTCAGGGGGACCCCAAAAATCGGGGGGCCCCCAAAAATCGGGGGGATCCCAAAAATCCTGACCCTGAAAGAGGGAATCCCCCAAAAAGTGGGAAACCCCCAAAAAAATGGGAAATCCTAAAAAGAGAGACACCCCAAAACCCCAAAGATGGGGCGGGAAAGGGGGGTCGGGGGGCCCCAAAAACGGGATCTTGGGGTTCAGGGGGCAGTTTTGGGGCTTTTAAGGTTCAGTTTTGGGGGTTTTTGGAGGGATTTGGTGGCTTTTGGGGTTCAGAGGTGGGTTTTGGGGGATTTTGGAATTCAGGGGGTCGGTTTTAGGGTTCAGAGGTGGGTTTTGAGGATTTTGGGGTTCAGGGGTGGGGTTTTGGGGGGTTTTTAGCATCCAGGGTTAGGTTTTTAGGGTTCAGGGGTGGGTTTGGGGGTTTTTGGGGTTCAGGAGTCAGTTTTGGGGGGGATTTTGGGGTTTTTAGGGTCCAGGGGAGGTTTTTAGTGTTCAGGGGTCAGTTTTTTGGGGGGATTTGGGGGGTTTTTAGGATCCAGGGTGTGTTTTTAGGGTTCGGGGCTCAGTTTTTGGGGGGATTTTGGGGTTCAGGGGGTCATTTTTGTGGTTCAGGGGCAGGTTTTTGGGGTTGAGGGGCAGGTTTTTGGGGTTTTTGGGGGTGTTTTGGGGTCTCTCTCACCCTTGGCCGAGCTCAGCACGTTGGTTTTAAGGCTCAGTTTTGGGGTTTTGGGGGTTCAGGGATCGGTTTGGGGGGATTTTGGGGTTCAGGGGGTCGTTTTTAGGGTTTAGGGGTCAGGTTTTGGGGGGATTTTGGGGTTCAGGGGGTCATTTTTGTGGTTCAGGGGCAGGTTTTTGGGGTTGAGGGGTGGGTTTTTGTGGGTGTTTTGGGTTGTGTCTCACCCTTGGCCGAGCCCAGCACGTTGGTTTTAAGGCTCAGTTTTGGGGTTTTTGGGGTTCAAGGGTCAGGTTTTGGGGTGATTAGATGGATTTCAGGGTTGAGGGGTGGGTTTTTGGGGTTTTTGGGGGTGTTTTGGGGTCTCTCTCACCCTTGGCTGAGCCCAGCACGTCGCCGTAGCTGAACCCCCCAACGAAGACGAGACCCCGGAACCCATCGAGGGTCAGGGAGCCCGAGCAGAGATCCTGGGTGGTCACATCCCACACCTGGGGGGGCAAAAAAGGTCAGAAACCCCAAAAAACCACCCCAAAAACCCCTGGGTGGTCACATCCCACACCTGGGGG